CTCTCTCTCTCCTTTATTTTTTGGGGGGGTGGGGTGGGGGGCGGAGGGGGGCGGGGGGAGGGGGGGATAAGGCCAGGAGCGGGGTAGACTTTTAAAGATTCAACACTGGTGTACATATGTCGGACTGGGTGAGCTGACCTGTGGCATCACACAGTGATCCTGGGCCCTTCCTGCTTGCTGTCTCTCAGAGTTGTTTTCTTACCCTCTTCGATGTAATGACGAGTGTGCTTCGGTTTCTTTAGCAAAACCACTCTCTTGAATCACGTTAACCTTTGAGACAAAGAACAACCAGCCGCCCACCCACCCACCCACCACGCCATAGCACAGCTGTCTTTACGCAAGCAAGAGCGCACCTATTCCAGCATGATCTGTCATCTAAAGACTCGAAAACAAAACAAAACAAAAAAAAGTTACTTATAGTCAATGGGTAAGCAGTCTGAATTTATACTAATCAAGACAAACCTTCAAAAGGTTACACTAAGTACAGAACTTTGAAACCTTGCTTTGTATGACTCGTACTTTTTGAACATAAGCTGCACTTTTATTTTCTTAATGCAGAGGATGAAGAAGTTCAGTACATGCTTTAAGGATAGAAGCAGACATTCTGTTTGGAACCACGTTATAATCTGCTTTTTTTTATTTTTTATTTTTTATTATTATTTTTTTTTTTACAGTATACACATTTCCCTATGAAATCATGGCAGAGATGTGAGGGCAGAATATATACAACAGATGCTGAAGGAGAAGGAGGGTAGTATTTTTGTTTTTTTAATTTCAAAAAAAACAAACAGAATTTTAACTCTATTAACTTTTCCAAATTTTCCGATCCTTTTAGTTAATGTCATCTTATTGTTCTAATGCCACGAAGGGAGAGGGTTTTGACTCTGTTGGGTTTTATTTGAATGGGTGCATGACCTTAAGTTGCTCTGGAAACACCTATTTTGTGGAGAAGAGATTTGTTGGTCTCCTTCCCATGTTCCCACAAACTCCCATTAACAGGTGCAAGAGTTGTGTGAAAGGAAAAGGGAGCTGACCTGTGAAAAGAAAAGCACATCCCTGTGAGGAGTGAGTCCCGAGGGAAAATACCCTGATGATTTCCAAGGTGACTTCAAAACTGTCCCTTTTGGAGAACGAAAGGCACACTTCCATACGTACGAAGGAAAACACATCACTGTATCTTTTCCATCAGAAGCCTCACCACTATATATGTCTTGTATCCAGGTGTCTACAATGGCCTAAACCACTGCATCCGTAATCCGCCATTTACCTGCAAACTTAATTTTGGCCGTCACGTTGGCCAGAAAAATGAACTGTTTTCATAGCTAAGAAGAAACCTCAAGTAGGGGAGTCAGCTGTGATCGTGGGAGAAATGTTTACATTTTCTTTTGTCAGAAATCGTGCTTTTCTGGCAATTTTATCTGATATTTCAAACAGGGAGCTCCGGTGCACTCTCGTGGATACGTGTGCTATGAGATGTGTCACGCAAACGCAGGGTGCCTCCCTGTCCGCGAACTTGTTACTTCACCTGACAGTTTAGAACCAGTGTGGGTTCCTACAGCCGGCGTGGGTCACGGCTGACTCCGACGTCCAATCCAATAGCCATCACTAGCATGGTGTGTTTTACTTTTGTTTGTTTCACCAATGTAGTCGTATTAGTAGTTCTGTAAAGAGAACTGCTTTTAACATTAGGGACTGGGAACGGTCCATTGAGATAAAAAGGAAAGTGTTTTCTCACGGGAAAACATGTCAGGAAAAATAAAGAACACTTTCTACCTCTGTTTCAGATTTTTGAAACGCTTATTTTAAACCAAATTTTAATTTCTGTGTCCAAAATGAGTTTTAAGGACATCTGTTCTCCCATATGAAATAGGTTAGGCTGTCTCTTTCTTAACTGAGCTCATGGAATGTTTCTGCCTGTGACCCTCTACAGGCTGCCTTTTAGTGAGTGAGGAGTTTGGGGTTGCCTAGCAACCCGCTAACTTGGACAAACTCATCTTCCCCCTCGCAGAAAGAAATGAAGGAAAACCAAGCAAAGTCAGTGAAAGACAATCTTTGTAGTTTCAGGAGTAAATCTATATGTGGCTTTCGTCCAGCACTTACTTAGGCGGATATAAATGCAGCAACTTGTTTAAAAAAAAAAAAAAAATTGCACAATTTACTTCCCAAAAAAAGTTGTTACTTGCCTTTTCAAGTTGTTGAAGAACACACATTTGATATTCTCTTACATGTTATAGTAACGTAACGTATAAACTCAAGGCTTTTTATTCTTCGTGATAAATCCTGTTTTAACATGCCACAAAACAGGAACCAGCATTCTAATTAGATTTACTATATCAAGATATGGTTCAAATAGGACTACTACAGTTCATTGAACACTCAAACTATGAAGGAATTACTTTTTATATTAAAAAGACCATGGATTTAACGTATAAAAATCCAAATGCAGGATAGTAATTTTTGTTTACTTTTTTAACCAAACTGAATTTTTCGAAAGACTGTTGCAGGTGTTTAAAAAGAAAGAAACGTCGTTTTATCTAATACTGTAAGTAATTGTCATATTTTGGAAAATTTAATAGTTTTAGAGTTACGATAACTCCTCTCCTTGGTTAGAAAAGAAGAAAGCCCTTCACCACTGTGGAATGATGCCCCAGCTTTAAGGTCTAACTCTACATCATGCTTCTTTTGAGAATTACATTTGGTAGTCATATTACAGGAATTGATTAGTTGTCAGTTTGCAGGTAGATTTCGCACAGCGCCCATCACTCTGGATAGATTGAGATGTTCTTTCACAACAGATGAATGATCTGTAACACTGTAAGATACTGATCTTTACAACTGTTTAATCAGTTTTATTTTTGTACAGTATTAGTGACCTAAGTTATTTTGCTGTCCCGTTTTTGTAAATCAAATGAAATTATAAAAGAGGATTCTGACAGTTGGTATTTTGTACATATGTATATATGTTGTCCAAATAAAAGTAATAAATGACAAAGACTGAATTGTCCCGGCCAGTACCTGTTGTAAAAGGGGCGTATCTTGTTCTAATGCAGGTTACCCCTTTAACATGCACTCACAGGATTTTTATGGTAAGTGCAAAAATGATTTTACTCTCTGTCTTTCAACTTGCCTGATATTTATATAGACCTGGGTATATTTACTATTCACGGACCTCTGAGGAAGTACACAGAACGTAGGCTGCTTGAACTCGCTGTATTATACTGGAGGGAGAATGTTTATGTTTTTAGGTAAATCACTTAAAGAGGCTTATAAAAGCTCACAGCCATGCTGGGGTGGGCTAGGAACTGGTCAGAGAATGTTAGTGACTCAGATTCTGCTCCTGAGAGGTAATATTGATGAGAACACACAAGACGGGGTCTCAAAGGCGGGACAGTAGAACCATTAAGGCAAACGAAGATGAACACCAAAGTGTGCGTGTGTGTGTGTGTGTGAGAGAGAGAGAGAGAGAGTTATTTATAAACATATACTAGCTCACTATAATTTATTAAGCTCTTATTATCTGGTGGTCATAGTGCCAAGTGCTTAGGTGTTTTTTTTTTCATTTAATTCAGATAGTAGCTCTGTACAGCTCCTTACAGTCAATACTGTTGTTGTCCACATATTTCATATGAGGAAATTGAGGGTCAGATAACTTGCTAAAAGACACACGTAGTAAGTGGTATAGACAGTATTGGATCTGCTGAATCCAATTCTCCATCATTCTATGCCTGCATCAGGGTAGTGGGATTTACTGAGAGTCATTTTCATTTGACCCATTTTATTGAGCACCTATTTAATGCCAGATATGATCATCACTGAGGACACAAAGGTGGAAAAATAAAAGCGTTCAAGGGGTTTATATGTCCATGGATGGAAACACAGAAACAACATTTCTGTATAATTTGAGATAGTGATAAGCACGATGAAAATAGAGTCACATGACTTGGGTGTGGAGGAAAGGCTACATCAGAATGAGTCTCTTGGAGGGGACTTAAACCTTTGAGCTGGGACCTGGATGACAGGGGTGAGCCAGGCCTGCAAAAGTGTGGAAGGAGTGAGGAGAGCCCATGGAACGAGTTCATTTTGGAGGAACCCAAGGAAGGGGGAGGCGGCTGGAATATAAACAGAAGGAGAAGGGATGAGAAGCTGGGGTGGTTGGCATTGGTCGGATCATGGGGGTGGGGAGCTTGTACTGCAGTGTAGTGCAGGGTTTGACTTTGATTCGAAGACCAAAGGAATCTTTGGGAAGGTTTAAAGTGGAAGAATGCTCGTTTCAGATAGGTATTTCAGCAAGCTGTTTCTGGTGCCAGGTGGAAAATGGGTTTTAGAGAGGCTCGCACGGAGCTGGGCGAGTAGCAGGAAGACTGTTGTGTTGTCCAGGCAGGAGGTGAAGGTCATTTGGACCAGGTTGTTAGCAGTGGAGGTGGGAAGAAGCAAATAATTCCAAAAAACACATTGGAGGCAGAATCATTTGGACTTAGTGATGTGAGGGGTCAGGGGTAGAGGATAAAAAGGTCCAGTAACGACACTCGGGTTATGGCGTGGGCAACAAGCAGGTTACTGTCAGTGCATTTGAGAAGATGGAGGGAAGGAGAGCGTTGTCACGAGGGAAAAGTCCTGCACTCATGTCTGGACATGTCAGGGTTGATGTGCCTGTCAGA